GCGTCGTCATGGTTGCTAGGTGACATGACGTACGCCGGGGTGGAGGGAAGGCTAGACCGTCAAAATTCACAGCCTCCTTTTTTTCCGGTCTTCCCGGTCTACCAAGAACCCGGCCCACCTCGACCGGGTAGTCTGGGTCCTCCGGAGGACCCGGCCTGTCGTTTTGGACACAGCCCCCCACACACACACATGCTTCAGCAGAGGCCACGCCTCCTGCAAGTATCGCTTCTCTACAGCAGAGAATCCAGACCCTCGTACGAAGCAAAGTGAAGGACAGAGTCTGGTTTTTACCAGGCTAGTTTCCAATTAACCCTGTGGAATTCTCCAAACAGGTGTTTTTGTTTCCCCCAACTTTCCCAGTCTTTTGTTGCCTCTGCTCCAACTTTTTTAGAATGTGTTGCAGCATCAAATTCAAAATGAGTGAATATTAGCAAAAAATAAAAAAGTGTATCTGTTTGAACCTTAAACATTGTCTTTGTAGTGTGTTTAATTGAATATAGCTTAAAAAGATGTGCAAATCACTGTATTCTGTTTTTATTTATGTTTTACACAACATCCAAACTTCATTGAAACTGGGGTTTTATATTAAGAAGCATTTGTGAAGAAAAACATTGCAACCCATTTAAACTTTATCTCATTAACAAATAGTTAGTTGTAAATTTTTAAGACCTTTGAGTAAAATATTCAGTCCAAGTCTTAACAGTCCAGCTGCTTCAGTGATGAAATTACAACCAGAACAAGTTACACTGGACCAGAATTATCCTTTAAAAGGGTTGTTTTAAGTTTCCGAACATTCTGAAATGCTTCCGGATAACGCCGGCTGTTTGGGTCAAACCCACAAGCCTGTAAATCACAGCCACACACTGCGACTTCACACACAGTCAGACGTTTCTTACAGGTCTTTCTTTTGAGTAAAGGACTCCACAGCAGTTTGAACACTGGAGTTAGGAACAAAGTGGTGAAAGACTAAGTAAAAGAAAAAATAAAATGCAGATTTGATGATTGGGTTTAGCTGACAGGAGTCAAACTACCTTTCAGTATCACTTTCATCGCTCGACTCCACCTCCTCCAGGGCGGCCTGTAGATCAACGATGCGGCGGATGGACGTCTCCAGGTCGGCCTGTAACGTCTGCCTGACAGCAGTGAGTTCCTCTACCTGCATTTCCTGTAAACAAATCAATGTGAGCACAGAGGATGAAGATGATGCTCACCTTAAAACGGTCAGATTGGTGTTTACATCAAACCTGATCCACCACAGTAGGTACCTTTGGTAGCTCATACTACCCCGAGTGTCCAATATTATATCCTCTTACAAAGTTTATCAGTTTACTCTGATGAAAACTGTTAGATACGTTGACCAAAGTTAGGAACACAGAGTCATTTAGTAAGTAAAGTTTTATTTATATAGCACCTTTCACAGAAATAAATTCACAAGGTGCTGTACATTCAGGGAAAGGGGGAGGGGGCACTTAAGAAACACCCATTCAAGAAGACATACAAGACAAACATGGGGGAACAGGTGAAACCGGTCATGCAGGAAATAGCAATTTGTTTCACCTGTGTGCTCTTTTGTTTGAATCCAGTCTACATTTTGAAAGACAAACGCCAATCTATGCACACAGGTGTGTGCGCAGACTCATAGCTCAGTGTGTGTTTGTGTGTGAGTGAGTGCATGTTTCTGATACCTGGTGGGGATGATTTTTTTTTTTTGGGGGGGGGCATTTTTGCTTAATTGTAGGAACCATTTTCCAGAAAAAGTGAGCCTCATGAGTCGTGGGGACCGATTTTTTAGGATAAATGGTCAGGGTTAGGCTACAAAGTTGTAAGAACATGAATGGAAGTCAATCCACAGTCCCTACGGGGATATAAAAACAAACCTGTGTGTGTGTGTGTGTTTCTTTAATCCTTAAGACACAATGAGAATTAATCAAAGTCTAAGAGAGAGGAAGCAGGAAGAGGAAGAGATGTTGTTAAGAACAATACAATCACTGGAGGAGGATAAACGTATCTGTTGTGTGGATGAATGTGTCCAGAAAGCGTGTGTGTGTGTGTGTGTGTGTGCGTGCGTGCGTGTGTGCGTGCGTGTGTGTGTGTGTTTGTAAATCTGCAGAGCCAGAAAGTTGTTAAAGCACATCATTGTGTGTGAAATACTTTTTTAATTATAAATGAATAATTACTGAAGGCCCTGCTTTTCCTCAGCTCTGAGGCCACAAAATAATCAAAGCAAAAACGTTGGTTATCTAAATGTCTAATCGCCATTGTACAGCGTTAAAGGCACAGTGTGTAGGATTTGTTGTTTTCAGCGACATCTAGTGGTTGAGTGGTTGAATCA